GGAGAGAAGTAAAGACAACTTGGCACTGTCTGCTGGACCATGCGTGGGGTCCCCTGCCCGGTGCCCAGATGGTCGGGGGGATGGGTAGGGTTCAGCGACTGAGCCTGACACTGGGGGGTAAGCATGTTTGGAACCTGTGCACTGAGAAGGTATTTGTGTTACAAATGGATTAAGGAAAATGGACCTTCCTGAATTAATCATATTTATTTAATCATATGATCATACTGTATAAATCAGAATGCGGCTGCCATCACGAACGCCTAGGTTTATGGTTTGGGATTGGAGGGAGGGGGCGAAGTGCTCCCTTGAACAGGGCTGATAGTATTTGAGTTTCCTCCACAGTCCTCATCCATGTCTCTGCCACAGAGATTCATAGTTGCATTAATTAATCCCGAGTCAGGCTTAGAATCTGCTAGTGTTCAGACCCACCACACTGTGGGTTTTGAGGAAATTATAACATTTGTCACAGACGTAATTTCTGCAAGCTCCTTTTTTCTTTGCCCTTTTCAAGTCTTGTGCTCCTTTGTTTTCATCTGTGGAATCTGAGTTTTATTTAAAATTCCAGATGGTTGACTGTCCTCAGTTGAGTGTTTATTCTTTTTTTTTTTTTCTCCACTTTTTTTTTTGGAAGTGGCTGTTTTCACATCAATGCCATATTTTGCTTTTTTATGGAGTTTTAAAAATTAATAGTCTATTATATAGAGAGTAAAAGCGAGCAGCTGTTGTACCTAATTGTGGAGTGTGAATAATAAACATTTTCACAGCCTGAGTATGATCTCTTGCAGCACAGTAAAACCTTCTTAGAAGCTTTGTCATTGTAGTTTTTCTTGAAGTTAGTGCTCGCTTATTTTAGGTTCCCTGTGATTCTTCTCTCAGCTGCCCCTGGTCACTGGGAGAATCCAAAAAAAATTTGGAAGGATGCTTTTATTATTTATATAGATTCTACCTGTATATTTTTAAGCTCCAACCAAAAATTTGAAATGAAAGTAAGTTTCACTGTCAGCTGAGATACCATCAGGCATTTTCAAAAGTCTGTTATTACCTCCAAAGAGAAATGAAAGCATCCTGCTTACAGGAGAAAGTTAGGAGCATTTCTCTGGGTCCCTAGAGATGGCATTTCCCATCTCAGCTGATAGGAGAAAAGCGCCGTGATGACTTCACTTTGTGGCTCCAAAAGACTTATTATCTTTTTCTAGAGAACAATTCCTCTTTATTTAGAGCTCGGAGGCACACTTTTTAGATACACACTTGCTCACTGTCTGGCAAAGCATAATAAACAACACACACATCTGGCAAGCTGGTTTGCTTGTTTACCTTTGTAACTGTTAGCTAGCTTTTCCAATTGAAGGAGGGGAGAGAGAGCTGGACCCAGGTGACCGCTGTCTAGGTCATGGTATGTTCAGGACGGTCAGGAGACCTTGGGTTCCACCCCCGGATTTCCTAAGGGATCAGGCAGCACCACGTATTCTTTTTCTGTGTTGTAGCCAAATGAATTTTGGAGGAACACATACCGTGAGAGATACATTAGAGGGAAAATCACAGACACCTCGATTTTTCCCTACGTCTCAGGAGACATTAGGATCTCAAGTGTAGTTCTCAGATGGTTGTTTTAGTCAGACAGAACTGGGGCTGAGGAGTCCTTCAAGGGAGAAAGCTCATCATCAGTCAAGTCAAGGTGCACAACCATGCTTGAAAAATAAATTCACATTTATTTTTAAATATTAAATGAAGGAGCAGCGAGAGAATTTACTGTGTGGGTTTTCAATCAAAGTCAGCCCTCGTGCTCCCAGAAGATGACTGGGGGTGTGTGTGTGTGTGTGTGTGTGTGTGTGTGTGTGTGTGTGTGTGTTTCTGTGTGGCGGGGGTGGGGGGGTGGGGTATCTATTGTCTTCAGAGAAGATTCTTGTGATGATAAAGCCCAGTCAGCCTTTCCTGGCAGCGCCTGTCGCCTTCTGCGTACTCTTGTGTGCGTTTCCTCTCTCAGCCCAGGACTGGCCTCACGTTTTGTGAAAACATCCATTTTGAGAGCATAAACCCAGAGCACAGGTCTGAGTTTGGTGCTAAGGTATCTCCCCCCTCCCTTTATGTCTGTCTTTAAATCTCAAAGTAAAACTAGCGGGGGGGGGGGGGGGGGGATGGGGAGATCTTTTCAGCAAATCGCAGAACACGGTGATCCTGCTTGCGAAATGGGGGATCGTCCTCTTGACAATTCAGGAACGTGGCTTCTGACTGGGCAGGACTCCAGGAGCCTGGGGGCCTCCCTGAGAGGGCGCGGCAAAGCCTGTTTCTCTGCCTCCCTGTCTGCCTCTCTCTTCACCCCCCACCCCCCCGGACCTCCCTCAGTCCTGCCCTCCATTCCGTGTTAAAGTGATATATGTGGCTTTCAGAAAACCCGCCTGCATTTGGGACTTCCTCCGAAGTTCAAGATTTTCCTAGCTCTGCTCTCAGCTCTCCTACTTCCACTGCCTTGATCCTGTTTTGCTTGTTTATTTCTAGCCTTAGACGCAATCTCTGTTCGGTTTCATCCCTGTGTCTGTTATGAAAGTTGAAGAATGAAGCCCCCAGGGGGTTCCTCTCCGATTCATAGAGACAAAAAAAAAAAAAAAAATTGCTGGATGGGTAAATCTGCCATAAAAAGGCACTTAAAACAGTGAAACATGGCCTCAAAAGAGAGACAAGAAAACGCTCCCTTATAAAAAGAGCGCTGTTCTTTAAAAAAAAAACAAAATCTGATTTGGTCTCCTTCCTGTCCTCCTCTGTGACTCAGCCCCGCCCTAGGCTCTGACTAGGGGGGATGGTAAGGTCCGAGGCTGTGCGGAGGGGACCTGTTCCGTCGGTCATGCTTTCTGCTTGCTTTCTGGCAGTGGAACCCCCCCCCCACCACCGAGGTTTACCTTGTCCATCGGAACACAGACGGCCCATTCAAGCCCAGGCATTGAAGGAAGGTTGTCTAGTAAAAGGAACATTTACGTTGCTGTGGAGAGGGTTCAGGAGAAGCAACAGGGCTGGTGCAGAACCCCGGAGCTAGTCAGGGTGGGGAGCTGCTGTGGCTTCTCAGTCTGACAGGGGCAGGGGTGCATTGTAGGCACTTCATAGGAGTGCGTGATGGGAGCTGTGGCCTTGGGTTGAGGACCCAGCCAACCCGGAGCATCTTAGCGAGAGGAAGCTGCAGATGGATATAAATTCCTGCCCTCTGATATGCCAGAACCTCTGTGGCAAATCTGACAGAGCCAGAGGGCAAGGGAGCCTGCGTGTGGTCCATGCAGGTCAGCCTCTGGGGACACAGAACGGGGCGGAGAATGGATCTGGGAAATTCCCAACCACATTGACAAAGTTGGTGACGTCACAGTTGAAGGATTTAGGAAACGCTGGTGATTTTAGGCCCCTGGATAAAAAGGACACCGTTTTCTTAATATTTCTATGTGTTTCTAGCCGGTCTTTCCTTGGGATCCCGTCTCTTTTGGTAATCTCGTCCAGGCTGTGGCTCAGCATTGAGCACTGGCTTGATGCTGACAATGCTGATCATTTTAGTGTTGACCACTCTCTGAGCTCTCCCACAGCCATCCAGCTACCTGTGAGGCTGGCTGTCCACTTGGGCGTCTCCTAGAATGTCAGCCTAACGCATCTAAAGCTGTGTCTGATTCCCCTCAGACCTGCCTCTCTCAGTTCCCCCTCTCCTAAAGCTCTGGCCGGCAACCTTAGAGTCACCGTTACACCTCAATTCTCTGCTCACATCTGATCCTGGAGTTTTCCTGACCAAAGGACACCTAGAGTCTGACCCCTGCTCACCACCTGCACTGCTACCCTGTGGTCCAAGTCTCCTGTCTCCAGGGTTGGAGAGAGGCTCCTACCTGGAACTTTCCTTCTATACTTGGAGTGACCCATGGCTCCCCAGCTCATTCAGACCACAAGTCTACAAGACTCTACACAGTGTGCTCCTTTCTTCCCTGACCCCCTCTCCTGATGTTCTTGAGGCTCACCCTGGTCTAGCCCTCTAGGATCCTTACTAGTCGACACAAGGCACTTACCTGCCTCCGGGCCTTTGCAGATAGCAGGTGGAGTGAATTTATTTTTAAATCTAAAAAGGCCAAAGTCCACACAAAAGTTTTACACAAACGTTTGCAGCAGCATTCATAACAGCCCCAAACTGGGAAAACCCTAATGTTCATCGACTGTAAATGGACAAGCAAAATGTGTATATATCCAGACAATGGAGTGTCACTTGGCAGTAAAAAGTGATACACGTGACAACATGGATGAACCTTGAAGACATTCTGCTAAGCGAACATTAGGTACTAATGGAAACATCATGCCAGTCACAGAAGGACCTCATATTGTATGAGTCCATTCATAGGAAATAATCCAGAACAGGCAAATTTATAGAGACAGAAAGTGGAGTGCTGGTTGCCTAAGGCTGGGGAGGAGGGGGTAGGGAGGGATGACAGCTAAGAGGTACAGGCTCTCTTTTTGGGAGGATAAAAATGGTCTCAAATTGATGGTCGGTCATGGTTGCATAATTCTGTGACTACACCAAAGAGCATTGAATTGTACAACCTAAATGGGTGGATCGTGTGGTACGTGAATTCCTCCTCAAAGCAATTAAAAATACAGATCTAAGTGATTGTTGTGTTAACGAACATTCCTGTTGTTTTTCCAAGTGCTGTATGTAGGTCTTAGAATTCACTATCATCATATCTGAAGTTTTAAAGGGAACTCTGTGACCGTTTGCATTTTCACTTCCTCTTTATTTTTTTAACCCTTACCTTTCTTTGGCGTGCACGTGCTAGATAGTCAGTATTTAAATATGATTGAAGGGGTGCCTGGCTGGCCCTCTGTTTGTAGAGCACATGACTCTTGATCTCAGGGGCATGAGTTCAAACCCCACGTTGGGCATAGAGACTACTTAAAAGAAATATGAATTTAAGCGGATGGATTTTTTTTTCTCACGTGTGAATATGAGAAAGAGGGGGTGCTAATCCCTCTGTGTTTTCTGCTTCCAGTACTTCCACGACGGGCGGAAGGCCCAACAGCACATAGAGATCTGCTGGAAACAACTCGAATCAGTAAGTGGACAAGAAACAGCTCAAGAAATGCCTGTAGACTTTCTAATTTGAATGTGAGCTTGCATGGATCCATGAAGTGCAGAACAAAAACGCCAGAGCGATGCCCTTAGAGATTTTCTCCAATTTGAATCGCATTTGTTTCTAGACACCATTATCGAGACTAGAGTGTGGAGCCCAAAGAGCTCAAGCAGAGTGTTTTTCTAAAAACTCATACTTTCAAAGCACAAAGGTTAGACAGGTGGGGTGGTTATAAATGCAGACTGTAGAATAACTCTTTGACGTTAGGACCTATAACCAAGCAGCTCAGAGGAGAAAGCTCTTTGGGGGATTGAGACAAAATGATACGTTCTCATAGGAATCCCACGGCTTCATTCACACCTGCTCTCCTGTCACCACTTGCATTCGCTTTCAGAGTAAAAGACGATTTGAACGGGACTGCAAAGAGGCGGACAGAGCGCAGCAGTACTTCGAGAAGATGGATGCAGACATCAATGTCACCAAAGCAGATGTTGAAAAGGTGAGGTGAAAGTGAGCTACCTTATTTCACTTGCCCTGATGCCTGTCGCCTCTCCTCCCAGGCTGCCTGTCCCCAAGCTCTCCTTTTTTCATGTCACTGCAAAAGGCCACTCAGCCTGGGAAGAGCTGTTAGCATTTTGTGTCCGCCGTCGTGGGGACCAGAGGCTGACTTCTGGGGAGTCTCCAGTGTCGCGACTGGAGCAGTTTGTGGACTTGTGTCGTCCCAGAATAATGACTTGGAGACTTCGCCTAGGAGTGGCTCTGAGGGGTGGGGGGTGGGGGTGGGGGCTTCCGGAGTCTGTGGTTTTCCCTTAATGGCTTTTCAAAGAAAAAGTCAGTCCCTTTAAAAGCCAGAGCAGACCAGTTCTGCGCCGTCTGGCAGAGCTCTGTGGCTTATAATGCTTCCGTTGGGGAGATAAAGGGACTCGCAGGCTGGCCTGACTTTGGAGGTGATTCATTCAGGTTGTTAACAGGTTGCATCTGGGCATCCCATCAAGGGCTCTTCTCTAAATTGACTTGCGTCACAGTTCGGAATATGATAAAGCTCGAACTGTACCTTCTTGTGGTTCCACATCTGTTTCTCCCGAGAAGCTGAGTTTTCTTTTTCTAAAAGTTATCAATGCAGTGTAAACAACATTAGGCTGTTAAATGACTGTATTCATCCCATGGCTCCCCGGGGCTGTTTCGGCATCTGCAGCATCATGCTTTACGTGGGGAGAAGCACAGCGTTTTCATAGATTTCTTTCACTTTTGCCAGATTCATGGGAGATGAGTTTAGTTGGAAATAGTGCGGGTTATTTAGTTACTTGTCCAAGTCTGCCAAATTCCTTGCTTAAAGCCTAGGTATATATTAGCACGCCTTCCTCAATAATTACCTAATATATTAAAATACACATCCTCAATGTTTCTGCTTGAGCTGGAGTGGGGATACTTTACCAAAAAATATATTAATGTGCTGATAAAGTTACCATAGATTACCATCAATTTGTCATAAATTCCTACGAAATAACCAACTCCCCAAGGGATTTAAAATGTGACTCAGATAAAATAGATTGATCCAGAGTTTATCAAAAAGTCATTTGGGGCTAAATGAGGTATGTCAGTATATGCGTAACATACCTAGCAAAGATAGGCATTCTTTATCAAATATTTTATTATCATAAATGTAAAATCAGAGTGATTTTTATTCATTTAAAGATTTTTTTAAAAGAAATTGCTTTTATGACCTTTCCTTAATATAAAAGCTGTCCATGCTTATTACAGAAATACCTGAAATTGCCAACAGCTAAAGGGGGGAAAAAACAATAAAACATCCAACTATTGTTAATGAAAGGTATTTTACCTTTCAGAGTCTTTTCTTAAAAATGAAATAATGTATATTATATAAGTACAGTGTAAAGAATAAGAACCAAAAGAATACTTCTAATCTACAAGCTAGCTTAAGAAAGAAAATCTTATTGATGCCTTTGAAGTCTGTCCCTAACTTCCTGCTCCTGATCCCCACTCTACAGGTGTATTTTTTCCTTAATTTGGTGTTAATCGCCTCCTTGCTATGTGTCCCAGCTTTACCACCTTTACCAGGTGTATGTATTTCCAAAGAGTATATTTACAATTTTGCCTCTTCTCCACCATTATATAACCAAAATCAGACTTTCATTTATTTTCTTCGGACTTGATTTTTTTTTTCATTCCCTATTATGTTTTTTACTTAATTCACATGGAATATAGAACACGTGACTTTTATATATTAAGGTTAGGGGCAGATGGCTTGCTAAACTCTCTTTTTATTTCCATCTTGGGTTTTTTGTGGGTTTTGTTTTTTTGTTTTTTGTCTTTGTTTGGGGTTTTTTTTTTTTTTTTAGAGATAATCCTATCACCAGCAAATTTTATTTCTGCTGTTTCAATCCTTATGCCTTTTATTTATTTTTCTTATCTTGCTCTGTTGGCTATGACCGCCATTATGCTGGCAGAAGAAGCAGCGTTGTGGACCTTCTTACCCCGATTCTTGATAATGTAGAGAGTACTTCAAACATTTCTCCATGAAGCACGATTTTAATAAACCCTTTATCCAGCTAAGGGATTCCCTTCTTTTCCTTTTTTGTTACGAGGTTTTTTCCCAACTTGACTTGATGTTGAATACCGTCGGATACTTTTTCTGCTTCCTTTAATCCATGAATGAGATAGATTACACGAGTCAGTTTTCTTATATTGAACCAAATTAGCATTCCTGTGACAAATCCAACCAGGTGGTGATGGGGTTTTTTTAAATACATACTCTGATTCTGTTTTGTTAATATTTTACTGAAGAGTTTTGGGGGTGAATCTATGCCCGCTGAAATTGATCTATAATGTTTCTTTCTTATCCATCCTAGTTTGCTTTACTTACTAGTTTCAGAATGTTGCTTTTTTTTCTATTCTCTGAAATAATACGTGTAAATTTTAATGAATTGTTTCTTGAATGTTTCGTAATACTTCACTGTGGGAAAGTCTCTAACTACTGAGTCAATTCCTTCATCGTTGTCATCATCGTCTGCTTCCTCTTTGGTCAATGCTGGCAGGTTGTTATTTTTCTAAACATAGACCCACTTAATCCTAAACTTTCAAATTTATTGCCTTAAAGTTGCCCATAATATTCTCTCACTTTAGTGTTTGCTGCCTATGTTGTTGTGTTCCCCCCTTTATTGATTCCCAATATTGCTTATTTATACCATTTTCTCTTTTGGAGGGTTAGGTTTCTGAAATCATTTTTACTCATATTTTCCGAGAACCCCAAATTTATCATGGAGCTTCCCTTGTCTATTTTTTTTTCTATTTCATTTAGTTTCTTTTTCTTCTTTACCTTCCTCTTCTTTGGATGTATTCTCTTGCCTTTTCAGAGATTTCTTTCTTCTTGCCTACCTCCTTTTGGTTTTTCATCTTTCCTAATGTGAGCATTTAAGTAACACATTTCTCAGGGCGCCTGGGTGGCTCTGTCGGTTAAACATCCGACTCTTTATCTCAAGCTCAGGTCTTGATTTCAGGGTTGTGAGTTCAAGCCCCACATTGGGAGCCTACTTAAAAAAAAAAAAGTAACACATTTCCCACTTATGTACAATTTTATCTGCAACCCACAAATTTTGGCATGGAGTACTCCTGTTGTTTATTTTGAGATTCTTTTCATTTCCTTTACTATTGAATCTCTCCTGTGATTTATTTGGAAGCCTCTTTAAAAATTTCCAATTGTGGGCACCCGGGTAGCTCAGTTGGTTAAGCGTCTGCCTTGGGCTCAGGTCATGGTCCCAGGGTCCTGGGATCGAGCCCCGCCTTGGGCTCCCTGCTCCGCGGGAAGCCTGCTTCTCCCTCTGCCGCTCCCCCTGCTTGTGTTCCCTCTCTCGCTGTGTGTCTCCGTCTGTCAAATAAATAAATAAAATCTTAAAAATAAATAAATAAATAAATTTTAGGGCTGCCTAGCTGGCTCAGGTAGAGCACGTGACTCTTGATCTTGCAGGTGTAAGTTTGAGCCCCACGTTGGGCATAGAGATTACTTAAAAAAATTGTATTAAAAAAAGAAAGCTTTTAATAAATAAAGTTTAGAATTGTAATATCTTCAGTGTGTTTTGACTTTTCATCCATGTGTAGTGAACTTCTTTCTGCAGTTATGTTTTATGCCTTGAAGTCTGTGTTGCCTGCTCTATACCAGCTCTTTGGGCTAGTGTTTGCCTGGCAAATCTTTCCCAAACTTTTATTCTACATGTTTCTTTGTCATCATATTTGAATGGGTCCCTCAAAATTGGCACATGGCTAGATTTCTTTTTCATCCAGTCTGATGGTCTTTTCCTTTCCCCTGGAGAGTTTTGGCTCATGTATACATACCATCTCATCTTGTTTTCTCTTTGTCTTACTTTCTCTGTGTTCCCTTACCCCTTGCTCTGACACTTTTTGTTTCTTGCCTTCTTCAGTTTTGAAGTTTTTGTTTTTACTTTTCTCATTCCGTCTTTCACCTATATGAAAGATTGGAGATTATGTATTCTCCTTCTGTGCTTTTATTGGTTAGCCTAGATATTTTAACAGACGTATTCAACCTAAACTACGAAGTAATTTGGAATCTTTACTAATGTTTTCCCAAACAACCCTTTAACTAAACCAGCTCCCTTTGATTATTGCAGTTTATTTGTGATTATTTGGGGTTCCATTATACAAGTTAGGCTTTCATAATTTTATACAGTCCTCTAAGTATACTTTCTACTTTCTTTGTTCACCATTTCTTTTTGTATCTGGGATCTTATTCCTTCTTCTCAAAGGACATCCTTTAGAGATGCCTTTAGCAGAGATTTATTGCAGTAAAATCTCAGTTTTTGTTTGATTGGAGTGATCCTCACTCTCATTTTTGAAAGATGATTTCTCCATGTATACAATCCTAGGGCGATTGTGTTCTACCTGGAGAAGGAACTTAATTCTTCCATCTTCTGGCTCTCATTTGTGTTAAGTTGCAATGGGGAAGAAGTCAGTGTAACTGTTAATTCTTTGAAGATAATGCCTTTTCTTCTTGGTAACTGTGGAGATACATTTTTTGGTCTTAGTTCTTCACTGAAATTTCACTATAATGTATCTATCTGTGAATTTCTTTTTTATCTTGCTTTTGATTCGGTGAGTTTATTAGTTTTCCAGTGCGTGTCTATCTCTCATTCTGCTAGTTCATCTGGAACTCTGATTATTGTGTAAGTTAAAACTTCTACTCTGTATCCTGTCTGTCTATTAACCTGTATTTCCATTTCTCATCTCTTGGTCTTTCTCTGTTGTGCCCCGTGTAATTCCTTCAGATACAATTTTCATTTCACTAATTCTCTCTTAATCTGTCCAATCTGTGGTTTAATGTATCATTAGTTCTCTAATTTCAGTTACATTTTCACTTCTAGAAGTTCCTTTAGGCTCTCTTTAAAATCTGTGTCATCTTTTTGTTGATTTTCTTGTGACTCTGTCACATTTTCATGTCGTATTTTACTTATTTAATATACCAATTTT